GATCTTATGCATGCCTCATGAGGAAATGTCTCAGATGCACATAGGAAAGGAAAACCATAAATGTTATCTCTAATATCTCACTCGTTTATCCTGGACACTGACAAGATTTAATGGAGAGCAAATTAAAACTTTGGTTTAAGTCTTTCCACATGTTCCTCCTGTGGACAAAGACCCACATGTCTCCTTCTAGAGTTTCAGAAAGAAAAGTTTCAAACTGTGCTCAGATTTGCCAAGATACCAAAGTCAGCAATGTAATGAGATTTTTCCAAATATTTCTCATCAAGTTCTTACAAGACTAAAGAATGTGAGAATTTCTGTCCACATTCATTTACAGTACAGTTCTATACACGCAATGACGACAACTGTCCTATTTGTGTATACTTTTTATTTATTTTAAGGAATTTCAGGAGAAGAATCACAGTCACAATTAATACATAAATGAAACATAACCAAAAACTCCCTATTATAGGGACAGTTGACCCAGAAATAAAAAGTGTCATGTCATTCCAAACCCACACAATTTTCTTTCTTCTATGGAAATATTAAAGAACACATTTTTTAAAACGTTTTTTTTTTCACACAATGATAGTCAATGGGGTCCAATGTTGTTTTGCTGTTGAACAACAAAGTCATGCAAGTTGAGGCTGAATAGAATTCTGAATAGGTGAAATATTCCTTAAAGACTTTGAGTGAAATGTCTTTTTGAGTTCTAAAAGAGCAACTTCTAAGCAAGTAGACTTTCCTTTGGGTGAGTTTATATATTTTTGTTTCTCTCAAATACTTATTCTTTCTTCTTGTGCATGAACTCAAGTATAATTTTTGACCTCTCTTTGTACATTTCTCTTTATGTTAGACAAAATTCCAGTTGAAGACACTGCGGTAGTAAATGCCAGAGTCATTAGGCTGGACGTGGGGAGGTTGATGGCACTGATTGCTCTGTGTTTTGCTCTGGTTGTCCAAGGCAGAGAATGTGCTGTGCTGCCCTTCGGAAAGAATTCAGATTACACTACTGGAGGAGAACCTAGATGTGACCTGGTACAAACTAATGAAGGCTTGAAGAGACTGTATGTTTGTGTAGTATTAAGGCTACACTCACCCAGAATGTGTGTGTGGAGCACTCTCTGTGTGCTTAGAGTCGTCCTGTTCACCATCTTCTCGAGAGACCTCGTGTCCCACATTTTGCCTTCACAATCACTGCACCTTGGTCTACACAGAAGCACCAGAGATTGGCTCTTAAAACCTCCCAATTTCCTGCCCTCCACCACGTCTCGTTTTCTTTTGGGATTTGTCTTTTCTCTCAGCCTTTGACTTGCTGATGGTCGCTTAGCAACATGGACAACAAAACAACAGACTGTGCTGCTTAGCATTCAAGAATGATTTGATCCAAGAGATTTGAGACAAGATGCCTGCCAGCGTGTGTGTATGTGTGTGTTTGATTGTGTGGAAGTGTTTTATGAGCAGCCTCCCACTGCGCTAGTCATTTGAGTTGTTTTGCTTCAGGGTTCATGCTCATTTGTGGGTCACATTTTGTGCAATCTAAAGAGTCCAAAATAAATGGAATATAATGCCCAAAATGGAAGCTAACAGATATTTTGAAGCCAAAACATACAAGAAGATGTGACAGAAATACTTTGAAACACTAAATCAAATAAAAAATGAATCCAAAAGCTAAACGTACATTAAAATAAACATTATTTTTAATAGTAATAAATATAAAATTAAACAACTAGTTTTAATTTTTCTAAAAACAATATAACTGTTGCTTGCCCATGCAAAAGTTTCTGCCATGATGCTAGCTGTCCCTACGGGAAATGCCCACTGGAGTGCCACAGGGCTCGGTACTTAGCACTTTACTTTTCCCTTTACATCAAATCAGTTATCCTCACCTCTGACGTCTAAGTATCCTCATGAATCACTGCATATCTGATAATATTAATGGCTGGATGAATGCCCATCATGTGAAGCTGAATTTATAAAAAAAAATGCTGTTAAGTAGTTAAATCAGGATTGTAGTTCTAAGGGGGTTCTAATGTCTCTAGCCTTCCTCTCGGTGTATCGATCAGAACACAGGAGTGGATTAAGGGTCAGGTTCGAAGGGGTTTATTGACCACTGCAGAGGTTTATTGGGTATGGGTGTTTGTGGTTAATTAGTCAGACGCACACTAACCCATACAAATCGACGATATATCTCCTGGATCCCTACCAGGTCTGTCGTTCGTCTCATTCTGCTGACTCAGCGCGGTGATTGACAGGAGCGTTAAGCCCCGCCTTTTTAACAAATGCTGTTCATCCCTTTGAGGAACAAGCTTTGCCAAGACCTCATCATTCTCAATTCTTTTCACCCACACAGAAAGCAAAGAACCTTATCAAACTCAACAACTGCCTGTGTCATTGCACACACATACAAGTGACATTCATGCTTTATACAATACAGTTTATACAGTTTCAAAACAGTTTCAAAGTAATAAACAGCAAAATAACAATGACACAAATTTCTTTAAATATGAGAGAAATTCTGTAAAGCAGCTCTAAAAAAAAGATGTGTCATTATTGAGTGCAAGTCAGTTCAGTTCAATAACTGCCAATGTTGCAAAATCCATCCATTATAAAACAAATTTGATTCTGCTGTAAAGAACTGGCTTATCAATGGCCAAACCAGAAACATCAGATTCGTCCAGCAGAACATCCGCCATGTCACCTGGGACCATGTCACACCTTAACTTTGTCTTCAGATGCAGGCTCTTGGAGCTGAAGCACTTTTTGTAAGTTGATATCTGCATAGTTTTAAATGGTTTTTAGTATGTTGCAATACAAAGCTCTTAAGAAAATACTTACAAAATGCTTAAGGAATTGCACACTTAAGAAGACTTCTGTGAATCAGGCCCATGATTGCTTTGAAAATCCGCATATCATTCATGCACACAGGACAAATACAGGTAGTTACACACCTAAGCATGTGCAATAGTAATAGTGATTACTATTGCCTTTGCAAACACCGTTAATTACAGAAACACAATGACATTTTTGATGTAAACAGGTTTATTAATCTTTTCAGCCACAGTGATCTACCTGTTGCAAATAGTTCCTCCAAGTAGAAAGAACCACAAGCAGACTTGAATGATGTGGCTTACAATCCAGAGAAACTGTACAAAAAAGGTTTGTATTACGCATTTGTACAAACAACTGAAGCTTTCAGCAGTGAATATAATATGATATTCAGCACTCTGACTAGAGCATGTTTGGCAAGCTTGAAACATTCAAACCCACTGCTTTAAAGAGTAAATTACAGGCACAACACAAAGTAAAGCTGTAAAAAGTGTACATTTGTAAAAACGCACACCACCATTGTGTCAAGATGACAGCTAAAATTAGAATATGCAAAGGCTCTCTCTCTATCAGACACATATACAAACAAATATAAACAGGTTATTATAAAAAGAGAATGTGCAGCCTCAGCTAAAACAACGAGGCCCATTGAGAGGCGGGAAAACAACCACATTCACACATAATAAAGCAGATTATTGGCTTACAAAAATATATTCACAGCTGCCCACTGCAGCTCTATGGCACATTTAAGATAAGATAAACCGTCTCAGTCCATCACACATAGCCTTCCCATAGTCAAAATCATCTTGTACGGGGATTAAACCTGCTCCTGAAATAACTGTTCCGTGTTCACTGACAGTCCTTAAAGTAAGTCCCAGACAAGGCTCAACGTGTTTCCTGAAAACCGTCTTTACATGGTGAAAGAAAAACAAACCCAATGCAAATCGGAAAAAAGGCTGCACTGCTACATCGGAAACCTGAGAGGCATCACACTCAAGCAACGACAGGGCATCCTGAAAGCATTGCTGGTAAACAATGTAAACATCAATTTAGGGACCCGTCCAAACAAAATGAAATCTATGAATGAATTATTCATATTTCAGATCAGTGTTTCAGGTGACCTGAATTGTAATTTGCTGTCAGAGCGGGTTTAAATTCAATGGATTTTGGAGGACTTCAGTCTAGACTTTTAGACATTCATTGATAAAGGTTTACAAACCCAGCAACATGCCAAAAAAAAAAAAAAAAACCCAGGAGACTGCAAAAAATTGAAGGATTTAAAAAAATCGGCTATTCTACAATTAAAATCAATGCAGAATTACTATCTTAACACCCTTCACCTAAACAAACAGCATTATAGGTTTGGCAGTAGACTATGGGTCGTCAGCAGTGCAGTTTTACAATCAAAAGTTCTAGCTCTCAATAACTGCTGACTCCTCCTCCTGCCCCCTCTCATTGGTTGAGCCCAATGGGCCGGCCCACCACAGCACCAGAGCATTGTCCTGTTGTACGCCTTTTGATGACATTACATTCCCCTCGTCTGAATCAGACTCAGAGTCCTCGCTGTCAGATGGCCAACAGAACTTACGCTGACCACTGGATGAAGCCACCAATGGCATGAAAGGGTGCACACTGTATGAGAGAGTAAGAAAAGGGAGCAGGTAAAATTAGCAATATTTACTCCTTTGCATTTATTTATTTAGCAGATGTTTACATTTCAGTTGTGTTACAGATGCGATGCTGTCACCTGCAAGCTCTGGCAAACATATTAAACATAGCCCTATTGACAGTATCTGAGTCATCCTTCAATTAGGGGCACATCTTGAAAAATGCAATTAATATTTCATTTATATTAAAAACATTTATCATATGTGATGTGCAGGAATGGAGTTCTGATCATTGCCATGATCCATCAATCAAATGGATTGGTATTATGTGTGGATATTTTGATATTGCGTGTGATCTTAATGACGAGTAATGGTGTCTCAAGTGAAAACTCAATAGTTGGTGCTTGGTAATGAAATCAGCATTGTGGACAGTGATTCGTTTTCATTTAAAACACACAAATTAGATTTACACTTGCGTTCGAAAGTTTGGTGTCAGTAAGATTTTTCTTTTTTGAAAGAAATAAATGCTTTTAGTCAGCAAAGATGCATTAAATTGATCAAAAGTGTCAGTAAAGACATGGTTACAAAAGAGATTTCAAACAAATGCTCTTCTTTTTAAACTTTCCAGTCTTAAAAAAAAAATCACAAAATATTAAGCAGCATGACTGTTTTCAATATTGACAATAATAAGAATTTTTTTGAGCATCATTATAATTTATAAAGGGTCATGTGACACTGAAGACTGGAGTAAAGGAGAACATTTATTTTAAACTGTAATAATATTTGACAAAATTAATGCAGCCACGGTGAGCATAAGACACTTCTTTCAAAAACATTAAAAACCTTACTGACCTCAATTTTCTTTTCCAACAGTAGTACATTAATACAACATGAATTGATAATATGCTTTTTAAGTTCTTATGAAAAAGTACAAATTATAATTTCCCTAATTTTAATAAACATATTTCAGCGGACCCAAAAGGCTGGGTAGGGGACAAACCCAAAACAGAGAAATGCTGCTGCAAACTTAACCTTTTAGTACTCCTAAAATTAGGAATTTGAATTACAGAGCCACGATAAAGGGTGAAGTGATTATCCATAAAAGCTATGATTTTAAAGAGTTCATGAACTTTACATTTTATACATCACTTTAAGTTTTTAATTCCCTACATTTTCTACATGTTATTTAAATGATGCTAATTATACCTGATGCCATTAGTACAATCGGTGTGCGCCTGAAACTGTAGCAGTGGCTGTAGTGGCTCCTCGTTCCCATCAGGTGGCGCTGTGAGGGTGTCCCACACTGACACCACACCGTCTGTGTCCCCACTCAGAAGATATCGGCCAGATCTATTTCAGACACACAAATATCTACATAAGCAAAACATAAATGGGTCTAATACTATGCTGTCATTTTTAGTAAAACTGTATCTTTATCTCACTGGTCCAGGTCAAAGTAGATCCGCTGGTTTGTACTGACGTTCCTGTGCATGGAGAACAGAACTTGTCCCGGGTCTCTGAGGTCCCAGCACAGGATCTCTGAGTCCTGAAAGCAGTGACGCATAACATTAGCTGGAGAATTCAAAACATGCAACAAATAACAGTGTTTCTAATTGGTGGATGTATCTGTCATATTGAATTTGGCAAAGTAAACCTGTGAGGCACAGAAGCCCACTGACCTTGCGACCACCCGTGTACATGTGATAGCCGTTGGGTGAGAACAGCAGGTGTGTAAGGCCTCCGTGGTGTCGAGCAGGCAGCAGAGCCAGCAGAGAACCGTCCTCACAGGAGTAAAGGCCGGCCGAATGAGAGTACGACCCACAGGCGTACATGGAATGGCACGAACTGAAGGCAATACAGGAGATAATGCCTGTCTGACCCTGTTTCTTGACTTAAAAGAAGAATGAGGAGGTATAAAATGAGAGGAAGAAAAACAGGAACAAAAGTTAATTGTAATTAGTTTGGTTTCATATTAGAAATCCATGAAGAATCACTGAATAATGAGAAACTACAGAGCCAAGTGTCCAGACGAGGCAGAAAATGGTCCAGACAAGGAAGAAGCTGACTTTACCAAGTCAAACTACGCAACTTTTCACATTAATATAGAATTCAACTGATGTGCGATCACAGGTGTACACTGCTGTTCAAAAGTTTGGAGAAAAGATTATTTAATGTTTTTGAAAAGTCTCTTATGTTCACCAAGCCAGCATTTATTTGATAAAAAAAAAACTAAAAACATAAATATTATTTCAATTTAAAAAAAAAATTTCTTTCAATTTTAATATATTTCAAAATGTAATTTATTCCTGTGATGCAAAGCTGAATTTTCAGCATCATTACTCCAGTTTTCAGTGTCACATGATCCTTCTTAAATCATTCTAATATGCTGATTTGGAGTTCAAGAAACATTTTTTATTATTATCACTGATGAAAAAAGTTGTGCTGCTTAATATTTTTTTGAAAACATTTTTGATTGGGATTCTTAGATTAATAGAAAGTTCAAAAGAACAGCATTTATTAGAAACAGAAACCATTTGTAACATTATAAATGTATTTACTGTCACTTTTGATCAATTGAGCACATCCTTATTGAATAAAAGTATTTCTTTAAAAAAAAAAATCTGAGCCTAAACTTTAGACTGGTAGTGTATGTATATCAGCTGCTTCATGACAACTTGGTATGTGGCTCATCCAATCAGAACATAAAGATGAAACTATATTATCCATTTTACAATATCAGTTTTTTTTTCAATTTTCAATTTTTTCAGTTTTTATCCAATTAAGTCAGATATTTTATGAAAAAAAAAGTCTTTCATTTGCATCTACGTTTAAAAACTGAAAATAATATAAATGTAATGTAATAGGCAGCATCTTTCAACCCTTCATCAGTCTGAACAAAGATCTTTTGTGTCGCATCCAGACCAATAATTACAATAGCAGTGTTGAAACACCATGAATGAGTCAGTCACTACAAACATGCTAAGATAATTATATCCACAGCTACTGTCTAGATCAGAGCCATGCATGCCATGTTAGCTTAATCAAGCCAAATATGTGTTTCCCGCCATGAATGTGATTGGAACGAATCCACCCAAACAAATAAAAAGAAATGAAATCGGATTACAGGCATTCCACACCCATGCCAGCCAGCCGTCTTAATGACCCCGATTAAGAACCATTTGAAGAGTGAGCGTGATTGATATAGCGGTTATTCCTCTACAAGAGGGACCCTCACCTAGGGTGGGCCTCTGCTCACAGTCTCTCCCAGGACGGTCGGTGTGGAAGACCCTGACTATTTTGTCAAAGCCGCAGTAGAGCTGAGAGCCGTCAGGAGAGAAACACAGGGAATGTGCCGCTGTCAGCTCATCCAGGTGGTTGTAGGGTCGAAAAGATGCTCGGAGGTCCCCGTAAAACGCGTCCCATATGTGGACAGGGTTGTCCCGGCTACTGCTGGCAATGCTGAAGGGAAAAGAAAAGAATGAAGGAAACTGGAATACATTGCAAAATCTTAAAACTTCACCCAGCCCCCCCCCCACAAAAAAAAATCTCATGCCATGTTAGCTTAATCAAGCCAAATATGTGTTTCCCGCCATGAATGTGATTGGAACGAATCCACCCAAACAAACAAAAAGAAATGAAATCGGATTACAGGCATTCCACACCCATGCCAGCCAGCCGTCTTAATGACCCCGATTAAGAACCGTTTGAAGAGTGAGCGTGATTGATATAGCGGTTATTCCTCTACAAGAGGGACCCTCACCCAGGGTGGGCCTCTGCTCACAGTCTCTCCCAGGACGGTCGGTGTGGAAGACCCTGACTATTTTGTCAAAGCCGCAGTAGAGCTGAGAGCCGTCAGGAGAGAAACACAGGGAATGTGCCGCTGTCAGCTCATCCAGGTGGTTGTAGGGTCGAAAAGATGCTCGGAGGTCCCCGTAAAACGCGTCCCATATGTGGACAGGGTTGTCCCGGCTACTGCTGGCAATGCTGAAGGGAAAAGAAAAGAATGAAGGAAACTGGAATACATTGCAAAATCTTAAAACTTCACCCAGCCCCCCCACCCACAAAAAAAAATCTATTGTTTTGGGAAAAACAAGAGATCGCAACATCAGACTTGACAGTCAGACTGGCTTTCTTTCAAACTCGCAACACAAAAGACTCATTCACAATAGATAATCTAACAAATGAAGAGCTAAACAATTTGAAATGAAAGATGGCGTCTACTGCGAGATAAACGAATAAGGCATATGAGTACATGCCCTTCAGAAGTTTGGAAAATCCCGAGACAAAAGGTTTTGGTATATCAGCATAAAGACTTAGCATTGATAAGGGAGAATACAAACTAATAAAACAGCTTTTTACCTAAATTAAAGATTTCAGAACAGTACTAGAGCTGTTTATAAACCATCTCTGCGCTTTGGGATGGAACAAAGGTATTCATGTGAATACCTGAGATCATGCAAGGTTTAAATACTCTCATGAACATATTTTAAAGAAAGTGGACGCTATGATTTTACTGAAAAACTGATAAATTACAGTGATGGTTTTTTCACCAAATTCAATCAAAACACTTGGAAAATGATCAGTGAGTCACATTAAGTTTTTGCTCACACTCTTAAGGTGTGGTCACATTAATCAATGCTCAGCGAAAATTTTGTAGACAAAATCCAATTATTCCAGTAATTATTATTCCTGTGTGTTGGGGAGTTTTGTATGAGGGCATGAAAGTTTCTTGTGAAATGAAAGATGGCGTCTACTGCGAGATAAACGAATAAGGCATATGAGTACATGCCCTTCAGAAGTTTGGAAAATCCCGAGACAAAAGGTTTTGGTATATCAGCATAAAGACTTAGCATTGATAAGGGAGAATACAAACTAATAAAACAGCTTTTTACCTAAATTAAAGATTTCAGAACAGTACTAGAGCTGTTTATAAACCATCTCTGCGCTTTGGGATGGAACAAAGGTATTCATGTGAATACCTGAGATCATGCAAGGTTTAAATACTCTCATGAACATATTTTAAAGAAAGTGGACGCTATGATTTTACTGAAAAACTGATAAATTACAGTGATGGTTTTTTCACCAAATTCAATCAAAACACTTGGAAAATGATCAGTGAGTCACATTAAGTTTTTGCTCACACTCTTAAGGTGTGGTCACATTAATCAATGCTCAGCGAAAATTTTGTAGACAAAATCCAATTATTCCAGTAATTATTATTCCTGTGTGTTGGGGAGTTTTGCATGAGGGCATGAAAGTTTCTTGTGCAGATTTTGTTCATGTGAATTGACCAAGCTGACCAACAGAAAGCTGCTTGTTTTGAAAGCAGCTTCTGTGTGCTGTACTTTATACGTCACAACGTTATCGACAACAGACCTTTTATGTCTACATTTTGCTAATGTGCACACATTTAAGGAAGAATAAGTCCATTCGTATTCCCAATCCTAGGGATTCCTATTGAAATGACTAGACTTTGTGTGAAAATTCACTGCACAGCAGTAAATGTCACCGCACCTTTAGGTACTTTATTAAGCATTAAAGTAAGTCACCATATACTGCCATTACATTCAGTCTACCCAA